TGTTAGCTCAGGGCTGATCTTCCTCACAAAAATAAATAAATAAATAAATAAATAAATAAATAAAAATATTTAAACCTATGAAGAAAAACTTATACAAGGTTAAATAAAAAATAAATAAGGAATATAGAAAAGTTATACATAGTATGTTTCCAATTTTGTTTTTAAAAAATTAGATGCAGAGAAAAAAGACTACATCCAAGTATTAATGGGAACACTTGGTGGAATTTTTGTTGATTTATTTTCTTCATGCCTTTCTATATTTTATAAATACTCTTCTGCAATAATGAGTCTGATTCCATTTTTGATGTTTGACTGCTGACAGCTTAAGCCCACCACTCCCTCTTCCATTTCTGTTACACATCTGGGCAAGCTGGTAAGAAAACCCAGGCGCTCCCTCCACTGGCACCAGCAGGAAGTTCAAACCTCGCAGGCCCCAGCCCACATTGCAGAATGCTCACCCTACCTGCTAATCACAATAAAAACTGAACCCATCTCCTTTTCCCTCCTTCCCTTAGCTATTTTTGGACCAGCTTGGGACGCTGCCCTGCTCTTCCCAGAAAGCTTCATTTATGTAAGTAATAAAACTTTTCACACCCTCCTGAGGGACATGTGGCATCAACCTCAACATCGAACCAATTTTTGGTAGCAGATCCATCCCACTTACGCTGACCAAACACAACACCTACAACGGGCATGTCTTACATTTAGACCAAAAACTGCAATATTATTTTATTAAAGATTAAGCTATAACTTTTCATATTAGGCCTGCAGAATTTTGTTCATTTTAAGAAAGGATATGTTTATAAGACAGTAAGCAAACAAACAGGAGAATTCATTATAAGATATCACCTTATAATCACTCAAGACAACATGTGTCTAGAAGAAGAATCACCTTTTGTTGTGGGACTAATTGTAGAATATACCCAAAGAAACATACCTGGACTCAGAAATTGGTCTTCTGTGAGTACATCTCCAAGGGTGACAGATAAAAACTGGTACTTGGGTCTCTGCCAGCACCAGAATCTCTTTTTTTTTGTCACCAGACTTAGAAGTTGTGACTTATCAGAGTCATTCAAGTTTGATACTGCAATCAGATCACCACCAGCATCGACTTCTCTAAGAAAATTTCTTGTTGCTTTGGCAAACATTTTGAGAGCTCTAGATTACCTGAAAAAAAAAAATAAAGTTACCCCAAAATTAAATAAGAAGTTATTATTTCATGACTTTTTTCTAAAATTATTCTTATTTCTCACTAGTATTAATCAGTATACATGAAAGAATACCTCCTTCCTAGAAAAGCCTTTAGTTTGAGTTCAGTTGATGTCAAAGAAATCACACTGAAATACTGAAAGAGAATATAAGTCAGGATAGTCTAGATTATGCTTCAGAAACAAATAACTTCCAAATCCCAGTGGCTTATAACAATAAAGTTTATTTATCAGGGCCTGCCTCATGCCATAGCAGTTAAGTGCGCGCGCTCCGCTGCTGGCGGCCCGGGTTCGGATCCTGGGTGCGCACCGATGCACCGCTTGTCAGGCCATGCTGTGGCAGCGTACCTTATAAAGTAGAGGAGGATGGGCATGGATGTTAGCCCAGGGCCAGTCTTCCTCAGCAAAAAGAGGAGGATTGGCATGGATGTTACCTTAGGGCTGATCTTCCTCACAAAAAAAAAAAAAAAGTTTATTTATTCATTACACTACATGCCAATACAGGAGGACAGGAGAGCTTTGCTCATCTTAGTCATTCAGGGATCCAGACTGAAGGGGCAGCCACCATCTTGAACATTGTCAGCCATCATCCAACAGGAAAGAGAGTTCTGGAAAGTCTAACACCAACAATTAAATGCTCTGGCCCAAAACTGACAAACATCATGTCCACTCACAATTTGTCAGAACTAGTCACATGGCCTCAGCCAATCATAATGGTCAAGAAATACAATCCTACCAAGTATCGGGAAGGTACAGGCCTAGGAATATTTGTTGAACAACACACTGACTACCACAATTTGTATCTTACGACCACTTCTCTGAAGGGTCAAATATGATTTTTCCCTACACTGTGTTATTTCCCCTATTCATAAATGGAAAGTAACTAGCTACTACTTTTTAACCCGGAAATGAAGGCCAGTCACTCATCAGCTGGAGGGAAAAAGAAGAAAGAGACACACTGGATATAAAAGTACTGTATTCGGGAGCCGGCCCCATGGCTTAGCGGTTAAGTGCGCGTGCTCCGCTGCTGGCGGCCTGGGTTCGGATCCCGGGCACGCACCGACGCACCGCTTCTCCAGCCATGCTGAGGCCGCGTCCCACATACAGCAACTAGAGGGATGTGCAACTATGACATACAACTATCTACTGGGGCTTTGGGGGAAAAAATAAATTAAAAAATAAAAAAAATTTAAAAAAGTACTCTATTCAGTGGAAGAAGTATAGACTATTCAATAAATGGTGTTAGAACAACTGGCCAATCATGTGGAAAAATTCAAGTCAGATCTCTATCTCATGCCATACATGAGAGCAAATTCTCAATGGATTAGAGGGGTTTTCGAGGAAAAATTAAACCATAACATTACTAGAAAAAAATAGACAAATATTTGTCCAATTGTAGGATGAGAAAGGCTTTTACGAAGGCAAATGCCAAATTGAGAAAATACTTATAATATTTATAACAAAGAACCAGCATACTTAATATATAAAAAAACTAACAGGGGCTGGCCTGGTGGCGCAAGTGGTTAAGTGCGCACACTCCGCTGCAGCAGCCCGGGGTTCGCTGGTTCAGGTCCTGGGCACGCACCAACGCACCGCTTGGCCAAGCCATGCTGTGGTGACGTCCCATATAAAGTGGAGGAAGATGGGCATGGATGTTAGCCCAGGGCCAGTCTTCCTCAGCAAAAAAGAGGAGGATTGGCAGATGTTAGCTCAGGGCCAATCTTCCTCACACAAAAAAAAAAACTTTAACAAATCAAGTTCTTAAAATACTGTGGTAGAAACATGGGTAAAGGTTATAAACAATTCACAATACATAAACTGCACATAGCCAAATATATATATACATGAACATACATATGTGTACACACAAACACACACATATAATCATTATTACTCAAAAAAAAAGCACAAATAGAAATAAAATTTTTTTTAAACTATCCACAGTCAAAGGTTAAAATGTCTAATGGACAAGAACTATGTTTTGTTTGTATTTGTACCCTGGTGTCTGGCAGTCACATGGATCATAAAATCATAGAATTTGAGAGCTGGGAGTAACCCTATATGTTAACTAGTTCAACCTACTTTCTTTAACATGACTCTCCTCTAGGGCATCAGAAAATATTTGTCTTACCTATCACCATCTTCTCTAAAGTACCTTGTCTTAGATTATTGTGTAGCTACCTAACCCTGTCCTTGTATATTAACAATAAGAATGAACATTTAGGGGCAGGCCCAGTGGTGTAGTGGTTAAGTTTGAGTGCTCCGCTTTGGCAGCCCAGGGTTCACAGGTTGGATCCCAGGCACGGACCTAGGCACCACTCATCAAGCCATGCTGTGGCGGTGTCCTATATACAAAATAGAGGAGGATAGGCACAGATGTTAGCTCAGGGCCAATCTTCCTCAGCAGAAGAAGGAAGATTGGCAATGGATGTTATCTCAGGGCTAATCTCTCTCACCAAAAAAATAAAAATAAAAAAAAAGAATGAACATTTAAGGGAGGGATTCTAAAATACGCAAAAAGTTCCTCTCTGATAAACAGTGAACTGCAAAGAAGGAAAACTAAGTACACTCAAGCTCTCATCTCTAACTAATCTCTCACTGTACTGAGCATAAGGATCTTGCATGCAATGGAGCACTCATTTATCCATTTATCAAAACATTTATTGCATTGTTTATTAATTACTCTTAAGTACCTAGTATTCCCAGGTACCGTGTTTAAGCACTTAGGATACAGAGACAAAAAGTAGTCTCTCTCCTTAATGAGCTACTAGATGGAGAAATAAACAGCTAAGTTTTATGCTAGATATTGACACCGTTTGCTACAAGGAAGGAACCAAGTAAAAGACACCTAAATCAACTGGAGAGAAGCACAGGGTCAGAGAAGTCATTTGGAAGTAGGCAGCAACCACACTGCATTTTGTGGGCCAAGTAGAAGTAAGCAGGCAAAGGAGCACTGTGACAGTGCTCTAGCAGAGAAGCAGCAATTATAAAAGCCCAGCATTTGCAGGAGGTGGTGGACGGGTAGGGAAGATTGTGCAAGGCAAGATCTGTGACCACCGAGCTCGTGATGTCCAGGAGACATCGTTTTGTGTTGAGATGCTGTCGCCTCTTCTTTGACAGAGCTGGAATTGCTTTTCAAGCTCCAGGATTGGTTCCTGCACCGGAGTGCAGGGTTCTAGAGTGAGGAAGGGCAAAAGACAAGGATGAGGAGGCCTCGGTCCAGATCCTGGAAGCCCATGCCTCCCGTTAGGGGCCAGGGCAGCAGGAGCCATCAGAGGGGTTGTACAGGGAGCAATGTGATCAGAGGGGTCACTTAGAAAGATCTTCTGGAAGCAAAATAGGAAACTGGCTAGAAGGGAACAAGATTAGAGATGGACAACAAAGGATGCTGCCGCACTATGTTGGTGGCATAAGGATAGAAAAGATGCTGGTTTGGTGGTTTCCTCAGAACTCCGGTTGGATGTAAAGGTGGTGGTGAAACAGAGGAGACTCCCTAAGATGGCCTCCAGGAATCTCAGGTGTGGGTTGGCCGATGAGATGGAAATGCCAGTTACCAAGAGGGAATTCGGGAGGAAGCAGATTGCTGGGGACAATAAGAGAGTAACTGCTGAGAATGTATCCAGGATAAGGTGCAAGATTTATTGCGCCAAACACAGGGAAAGAACTTGGAACAAAATAAAGTCTCCCCAACGACCTGTGGGAATTCACCCTGCTTGTCCAAGAGAAGAGCGGCAGCAGAATCTGCCTCAGTTTACCTTTGGTGTCAGGATCTCTACTTTTATGGTTTCTATTCTTTTCTGCGACAGCCTGAAAGGGAATTCACTAACTTGCCTTCAGATCAAACAGGTTTCTAAAGAAGCCAAATCAGGCTGGCCATTAAAAAACAAAACAAAACATAAAAAAACCCATCTGTTGTGGGCAGCACAGCCTTAGTAATGACATCAGTCCTCCCCAAAGGGGTTAGAGAATGAAAAAAGGAAACGCCTAAATTAATTTTTAATTTTTTTTCAATCTAACATCAAACACAGTCAATTTGCCTCCTTGACAATGTAGGTTGCTTTAGGAAGAGTTAATGGAGGTGGCCATTGCTTTGCAGGTCTTTATTAAAATCAGGCTTATTTAATCGATGAACTCTTTGAGAATATTCTCCTTGTAAAGTTAAAATTAGAGGTTTCTTTATTATTATTATGTTTGAATATATAATACATTCACATGGCTCAAATATCTAAACTATGTAAAAAGATATACACCAAGAAATCCCATTCCTGGGCCGGCCCGGTGGCACAGCAGTTAAGTGCACACGCACCACTGTGGCGGCCCAGGGTTCGCAGGTTCCCAGATCCCGGGCGTACACCAACGCACTGCTTGTCAAGCCATGCTGTGGTGGCATCCCATGTAAAGTAGAGGAAGACGGGCACAGATGTTAGCCCAGGGTCGGTCTTCCAGGGAGGATTGGCATGGGATGTTAGCTCAGGGCTTCCTCACAAAAAAAAAAAAAAGAAATCCCATTCCTATCCAGGTCCCATCTACCCTTTCACCCCTCCCCCCTTCAGGTATATTATCTTCACATTTCCTGATACAAATATAAGTAAACAGGAGTCTGCACACTGTTCTACACCTTGCTTTTTGTCTTGTAACAATATACCCTGGAGATCTTTCCACGTTAGGGCCTTCTTCTTTATAGCAGCATAATACTCCATCATGATGGTACATCACTCCATCATGTACCATCATTTATTTAACCTGTCTCATAATGCTGATCACTTGGGTTATTTCTAAATTTTTGTTATTATAAAAATGCCACACTAAATACTCCTGATTGTATGTCTTCTTCACACACAGGCAAGAGTACCCGAAGGGAGATTGCTAGAAGAGGGATTACTAGATCAACAGGTAAAAGCATCTATAATTTATAAGTTGTACCATTTTGCAGTCTCACCAATAAGGTATGAAAG